TATTGTGGAGTTATGAAGAATAGATAGCTTTTCTCCCTTTTCAGTTTTTCAACATTTCCCTTTACTTTGGTCCCTCAACGGGAGTTGACTGGATCACATCATACGAAAGAAAATTTCTGCCGACGTCAAATATATAGTTGTACGGTGATGATTTTTGGTGAGAAACTCTTTGACACCCACAAAAAACACTTTGTCGAGGATTGAACGCTTATGTGGCTGCAATTGATACACAATTCTTGTCGAATGAGCAGCTAAAGGCATACTGCTTTATTGGCAGGCTATCAAAAAAGAAGTCATCTGGAAATGATAAACATGCAACACATCCATAGATTATGAAGACGTAACTAGCCAATTCTGAATTTTGCACTTGCATGGAAGTAGTGTGAAAATAACAGAACGGCAGTTTTCCAAATTAGATAAAAAAAGGTAAGCGCACGCGAGATGTTTGCGTTACATGACAGTACTTCTCGATCGCACATTGCAATTGTTCAGATTATTACCAATGATTTTTGCTAACCTGACAGCACCGTAAAGGAACCCCAGAATTGATCCCAACAGCTTATTATCAGTTGTTAGGCAGGCGAATAATGGATAGAACAATATTCCATAGATAAGTACTGCAAGAAGTCCCTGAAAAACTGGACACAAATGTGAAAAAACTTGATAATAAGTCATGATGATTAATAATTAATAATTAGTTGCCTGTGTGTATAACACAAAGGCTACAGGTCGTAGAGGGACATAGCAAATAATAGTTACCTCTCAACCAAGGCGTATCACCCAAAATATCAAACAAAGTTTGTCCCTTAGTGAAAAGTTCCAGGCATGTACTTGCAGTAGCTCCAAATGTAGCAGCAATGGTAAATCTGTTTCTAAACCCTCTAAGAAAGTTGAACGGTCTAAAAAAGAAGACCAATTTATAAATTTAGAGCTTAAACTGTTAAGTAAAGTTAGTGAACTTCATGAGACGGGCTCCAATGATGCACCGATATGTATAAAATAACAAGTTAACGTTACTGTGTTTTAATTAACTTTTCTTGAAATAGTAAGAATTTTTTAGTAGCAACGCATCGCCTAAATAATCTTATGCAGACAAAATGGTGCCGTCCATAACTGACACCAGTTTCAGTTTTGAAACACTTTGTAGGAAACGTTCAAAAAGTTTGGTAAATTTACAGCGTATTGCTAATATCTCAAATTTTCAACACTGAGAGTAAAGGCCTTAGCTTTGAAGTATTTTACTTAGCTTTACAAATTTCTCTCAAATCTTCGTCGAGGATGAGAAGAAACAAGGCATTCAGTGCACCGATTGTTAACGGAGAGGGACTTACATAATGAGCCCTGGATATCCACCGCAGCATCCAAGCATTAAATTTTTCCGGCGCTTCAGAAACGCCAAGAGGACTATAATGGCAAGCTGAAAAAGAAATAGAATATCGGCTTAAGAAAATTAAGGAGTATGGAAAAGACCGCCAAGTCACCGAAAAACATTTAACCGAGGGACCTTACAAACTGGCGTTTTTTAATGCACCATAAAAGATAAGTTAATTATTATAAATACTTACCGCAGGGCCAAGGCAACCTAGATCAAATATCTCTGCATCAATGGCTGCTTGACACCTAAAACGGAAGATAAGTTAACACTGTTAATGTCAAGAGCCATACAAAGAAAACATTGTAATTATAACAAAGCAAAGATCGATAGAAAAAGACAGAAAACGTTCTGGTTTTGTAATTAATTCATACCGTAAACCCACCCTCCACTTTTTCTGGGAAAGAAGGTTAAAAAAGCCCTCCCTTCTCGAGAGGGCGTTGGGATTTTCGGTTTTTCGGTTTTGGCCATGTTTTAGATCGGTTTTTCGGTTTTTGCAATGAAAAAATTCGGTTTTTCGGTTTTGTTGTCCATTGTGGTTTCCGGTTTTTCCCTTTTTTAGCATCTGGTGTTTCGTTTTTTGGGCAAAAATAACGCGGTTTTTCGGATTTTGGTGACCGATGTGGATTTCGGTTTTTCCGATTTCGAAGAAAGTCAAAGACAAAGCAACACGGGCTCCCAATGTGGTTTTTGTTGTTGTGTCACATTATCAACTGCCTTCAAGTTACATTTTTGCTCTCACAAGCATGTCGTTTCTCGATTTACCTCTTTTGTAGGATACGATCGAAGGTCCCAAAAATTGTTTTCAGCAAAAAGTGATTTTCTATTTTAGACTCCAGTTTGCCATCAATTTCTTTTAAGATCTTGTACTGCTGGGTGATACCGAAAAGGCAATATAGTCTCTCTTTACTTTTTTGCTTTTGTTTTAAGTCAAAGTTGACCTCTGACAATAGCATGTGTACACATACTATCTGATGTCTATCTTGTTTAGGATACCCTCGGGCTTGAAGGCGTCGTTTAAAGTTCGCATGCACTCTTCAAATGTTTTTTTTGCAGAGTTTGTTCTAAGCAATCTTATTGCTTCGCCTTTAATGAAACGTCTTTTCACCCCGGAAGGGTGGCACGAGGTAAAGTGTGTATCAGTTGAAAGGTTTCAGTCGGCTTGTAATTGGTTTTAATGTCCACAAAAACCACCTCGAGATTCCGTACACTAGGTCTGTCTTTAACTTCCTTCCCAAAAAAGTAACAAACTGTGCGGGTTAGATTCGTCTGTGGGTCTCTGTGCAGTCACATGTTTGGCTACTTTATATATTTCTAATTTACAGTCAATCCAAGTCAAACTGGAATGTGGGATTTTGGGTTTTTAATTAGGGTGTACACCCGGAGAGCTTTTCGCGGACGCAAAATTTCGCCCTATGTCCTCTATAGCCATTCAATCAAGGATCTTTGTGAATTCTCCTATAGGGTTCTAGGCCAGATGTGCCCGTTTTACGACCATAGCATCCATAGATAGTGCTGATACTTTGATGATATTAAACATCTAGAATGATGATGTGCTATTGTGTAGTCCGCATGTTCCACATATCACCAACGTTTGAGATCTAGACTAGGGTCTTGTGGAAATTGAGCTGTATAAATCTTCGGTTTTGATGGTTTTGTATGCGGTTTACGGTTTTGATCGAAATCTGTCGCGGTTTTTCGGTTTTGGGTAGCGGTTTTTCGGTTTTTTATAGACCCCAACGCCCCCTCCCTTCTCCATAAGCCCTCTCTCCCCTTCCCTTATCATTCTTCACCAGTAAATGATAGACTTTACTATCAATCACGACTAGCTGTAAAACTTCGTATGGACTAGCCCGCGAAGCGCAAACGTATTTCCGGTCGTCGAGAGAAGCGACAACCGGAAATACGTCTGCGCTTCGCAGGCTACGTCTGGACTGATCCGGGATGGTGTATTTACCTAATGTAAGTTCAGAATTAATTCTGGTCCTCAGCTGACCTCCAACCTTCTTGTAATCGAGCTATTCCAAATCTTATTCTAGTTCTTTATGGAGAACTGATACCATCGACTTTTCTAAAATAATACGCCCCCCGTCCCCATTAAGCTCTCCCTCAAATGGGCTTGAAATAAATAAGCTTCCCGGGAAGCTAAATAAGAGATTTAATGCATTTTAGATAATGTATTTACACCAGTTAAAAGGAATGCAAAGTTCTATAAAACAAAGTATGTGAAAGTAGTACTTTTGTGTTAGAAATGATAATTAGAGACCTTTAGCATCAGGTAAACTGCAAACCGCAAACCGCAAACCTCAGTTACGCGTTTGCAGTTTCGCGTTGCCGAGATTTCAAACTTTAGCAAGGCGTTCAGTTCAGTTCAGTTCAGTTCACTTTTATTTAGCCAAAATACAATACAGTACAAGAATACATATAGGAATTGTAAGGTTGCAAGGGAGCCCAGAAGAAACCAGAAGGCTTATGAAGCCTGAGCTCCCCAGTATAAAAGAAATAAGCAAAATAAAATGATATTCGCGGAGTGATGCGTTAAAAATAGGAACCCAACAGAGACTGAGTTAAGTCATGAATTTAGTAACAAGATAGAAAAAAAAATTAAACTCTGGATTGGAACAGAATACTTTCCATTGTTAGTACGGCAGAAAGGAATATAAAAGTGATTTGAACTACGCGTTCATTGTTTAGGGCCGCCATGTTGCTTTCATCAAGTCGAAGTGCATCACTTTAATCGCCAAAAATCAGCAATAATTCATTGATTCGAGATCAAAAATCCAACAAACACATCGCAAACGGATACAAAAAGCTAGTTGATACCTTTAAACGCTTGGCTGTACAGTTTTTTGTGGCAAAAAACCATAGGCGTACGGGCAATTTTTTGTCAGGGGGGGCGGTAAACCATTTGCCCAAAAAATTCTTGCAAGTTGTCCAATTTTTTACAAAACAGTCGAACAGAAACGAGGGCCATACGATGCAACAACATAGGCCGTACTAGCCTGAAAGTGGCTCGATACAGTTTTTCAGGGTCAATACCTGTGAAGTTTTTTTTGAGAATAGACTACGACACCATGAACAAACATTTGGAAAAATTGCCACCACAGTTGTATTAGATAAAGAAGAAAATTTGTTATGATCCAGGTTACAATAACATCGGAGTTGTCATAGCAACCAAATGATGCCATTACCTATTATACTTGCAGCAACATTTCTCACTGGGAACTGTTCTTCCAAAATCGTTCACGGAAGCATTTTCCTCCAATTGTCGCCTCGATGTTCGTGGAGTTAAAACGGAATCTGTAAGAGCGTTGCGGAGATATTTTGGGATAAAGTTTTTATCGTTAAAAATACGGTATAGAAGGAAAATCTTGATGTTTGGCCGTTATCTGTAGAAAACGAAGCGCTTTTGACATGCAATTTCACCTCATAGTAGTTTCAATCTTTTTAAAAACGTGGGTAAAAGAACATGGAGATAGCTCTGGCCAAAAAAGGATTTGAGTATTTAGTATGTATCATGGCGCTCTTGTTAACGGTTTTGTAAACATTTCGGTCTACTTTAACAAATTAGTGAATAATCTTTAAACGATAGATTTTTTTGTTAAAAAATACGATTCTTCGCGTAATTCAAACTGAGAATTAGTCAGCCACTTCTTCACTTTCAGACCCATTGCTGATGCTATCTGCCATACACTGTTCTACGAGTGGAGATGATTCTAGAAAGTTAGGCGGAAGTTTATTCTAATCAATTCACGACTGGAAATAGCCCATTGCAGTACAGTGCCCAACAATAAAAAGAAACAGCACATGATACCCTTCCCTTATAACCAGAAACTCAGTACGTGCTAGGCAACCACTGTCTCGTGTGAATGTAACAGTACTGGATTATTACGCCAACTTCAGGTTAAAATAGAAAATATTTATCTCTTCAAAATAATGATTTAAAAAACACGGAACGTCTTAAAAAACTGGCTTTGCCCAAATTTTCTCTCGCTGCCCAAAAAATCTGAGTTGCCCAAAATTTGGGAGCGCTGCAGCCCCCCTCGCCCCCCCGGCCCGTACGCCTATGCAAAAAACCTTGCCGTAAATCACTTACCGCGGGAAGCCCTTCCTTCAAACGTGAACTGCAAACTGCAAACGTGACCGCAAGGCCGTGGTCACATGACATTTTGCGGTTTGCGGTTTGCCGTTTCCCACGAAAATCCTGATGCTAAAGGTCCCTAATAAAAGGGCAAGGCCGGAACCCCCTCGTATAACACATTTTTGAGCACCCCCGGTTCTGGTGGCTTCTTCAGAGAGGGAAACTCTTCGTCCCCCCCTCCCCCTCCTCTTCTTCCACTAAAATAAAATAAATTAACATAAAATCACACTTATCTTTTGGGTTAAACTTTAATAGGCAGAGTTATCGAAGGGAATACAGTGCCGTAGCCAGACCAAACGGCCAACCGAGGCAGGCGGGAGTTGCTAGGGGGGTTCGGGGGCATGCCCCCCACCCCCGAGAAATTTTGAACTTTTAATAGTCTCTCGGAAATGCGATTTGCAGCGTTTTCTGGGCCTTTCGGTAACTTTTTTTCGAGTTAATTTAAGTGGAATTTAAAAAGCAATAATCAGAAACAAGCTACATAATCTGGGTGACCGTTAACCTCGCCGATGGTTTTGATCAGTATTTGTTCAAAAAAAATTTGAGTTAACGTACGTAGCCCCTTGAGATCGATGATATGGTAATTTTTTCATAGTATATTGACTGAATTGCTGAATTCTTTGTAATATCATGATGCGTTAAAAATATCCGATGATCGCTTATGTAAAATAAAAATGATCGGCGAAATTCGTCAAAATTTTACCGAGGCGAGTGCCTCGGTTGGCCTCATACTAGCTACGGCGCTGGAATATAAGAGTAGGCCTGTACGGAAGTTCACCAAAATGTCCCATGAGCCGAGATTTTTGCCTCGGGGTTTGAAAGAGTCTGCTAAAAGTCCACTATTGCCTGAGGTCGA